ACAGGTTAAAAGGTGAAAGAAATGAGGAAACAATGAGCAGGAACAAGGGGCCAGGCAGGCAAATGGATTTTTACTGGGCTCGGTCTTCCTCCCTGTCAGGAAGAAGTGCAACATTTCCAGAAAGGGCTCCAAGTCCTCCAGGGACTCTGATTTATGAAGATTTACTCCCCTTCTCTCTGTAAAGCTGTTAGCAGAAAGTGCTGACCAGCTGCAGCAAAGAATTTCTCATCGATGCTCTTTGATTGTATTTTGCAAACAAAATGCCGGTTGCTTGGTAACATTTCACTTGAGCCTGACCTTCTCTGAAAGTTATTGCTATCAGATTCGATTTACACTGTCCTCCTGTGATTACTGTAATCTTTTAAACCCGGGAGTTCATCCATCAGGGAAGAGAAAAGTTGGTTGTGTAAGTGGAGAGTGTGGCTATCCACCAGATTTATAACTGGAGGGGGTGCTGGAGTGGTGATCCCCCCAACCAGGGCAGTGGACTCTGCTTTCTAGGGTGGAGTGCTCTGGTTTTTCCTGCCACCCGGTGTCTTCAGCTCTACAAGATGGACCCCAGCCTCCCCAGTGTCCCTCCTGGAAGAGCTGGCCATGCAGATAGACTAGTGACCCAGGCCAGGGTGCCTTGTGGGCCAGGGTGGCTGGATAAAACAACAGGACACAGCTAAATTTGAACTTCAGATAAATAATGGAGGATTTTTAGTGCAAGTATGTTCCACACAATATTTGTCATCCTATTTTTTTTTTTTTTTTTCTGTTTTCAGGGTCTTTGCTAAGTTTGGCAACTCCCCTCCTCGGGGGTTCTGGGCATTAATGGACAGGGAGGGGAAGCTTGGGAGGAAGCCAGAGAGAGCTGGGTGAGTTTTGGAACTAGGAGCCACTCCAGGTTCCCCTGAGGCCTAGAGGGCAACAGGAGCCTACAGGCAGGGAGGCAGCGCTGGCCCTGGGACAGCCCAGGGCAGAGTGGGACACCCAAAGTCTCTGCAGCCCCAGCCTTTCTCCTCAGGAGAGCTGGCTGTTTCCCATCCTACCCCACCTCATCCCACAGCCCAGCAAAGCAGCAGTCTCCAGCCCAGCATCTATCGGCAAGGCTAGGGTTCCCACTCCCCAGCCAGCTCCACTACAGTTTCAAAGAGACTGTGGTATCATCCGTTTATTCCTTTTTATCTGGTTGGTTTTTTGGTTTTTAAGCCCTGGCCTCAAAGTAATAGGTCTTAAAACCAGAGTTCTTTTTTTCATTCATTTCATAGATGACCTTTATTCTTTCTTGCTTCTTCATTCCTCCCAGCCTATCACCACAGAGGTTTTCCTTCCTGGCCTGGATAAGTACTCCTATAATACTTCTCATACTTGAAGGTGCTTCTCTTTCAGGAAATTAATAAAGTAAAATTGAAACTAAGGAAGAAAACTGGGAAGACCCAATCAAGCTATAGCTGTAAGTCCCAGAGTAAGCATAATGATGAGGCCAGAGGTAAAATAAAATAAAGACAGATTTTCAAAACCTAACTGCTTTCCCTCGTTACCTTGTTTCTCCTTTCAGAAGAAATAAACCTGAAAGGAGACCCTACCTTCCTATTTAATCGTGCTCGTTTATTCCTAACCACATTATGTTTTCAATTTAATTTTCCTTCAAGAACACTTAAAAGAATTTGTGCACATATTTATTTTGATAACAGATATAGATCTAGGAAGAATGTACAGCCACTGATCTATCCCATCCTGGCGGCACAGGGCACCCAGGACACTCCCCCAGAGGAAAGGTTGGGGCAGGCAAGGGAGCACAATTCAGGAATGTACCTGCAGTTTCTCACCTTGGCCCTGACCCTTAGTTTCCCTCAACTCTGGAGCCTACATTTTTGAAAGGCTGGCTTGGCTGGCTGAGACTGCTGATTCAGCCACACTAACTGCTGAAAGACGTCCTGGGATGGTTTCATGGGGGAAGGGGTACAAGGAGATGTGAAAAGGAATTTAGAAATAATGCATTCCATAGTATGCATTAGGAAGCTTAAATTAGAATATGTTCTCAATCAAAATCTAATTAATTTTAGGTCAGTCATAGATGGTAATCAAATAGTAGGATAAATCTATACCCCAAAAGAGTACTTAAATCCATAGCTAGAAATCATAGTCATGGAAATGGGGAAATTCTCCTAAAAGCCACAATACATATTACACCATTAGATAAAATAACCCCCACTCCCGTAAAGAATCTGAAGCAGGATTTGGAAAAGATTTCTTCTGCTGTCAAAACTTTGTTTGGGCATTAATATGTTGCTCTCTGAACCTGGTGGTATTTCTCCAGGAGGGGGTTAGCAAAAGTATTCTTCCCTAAGGAATGTGCTTTTCTCAAAGATTTCTGCAGAGGAAAAAGACTCCATGTGCTGGTACACCTGCATTCATATCCAAGAAAAAATATCTCTCCACAGCTAGGTACTAAACAGGCCCTTGGCTCTGAAAAAGGACAACCACATTTTAAAATCAAAGTTCACAAAGAAGTAAATCTACATGATTGGCCAGCAAGTATTTAGAGATTCCTGAAAGTCTGAATATTTCTTATACATGTAGACCTATCATCCAAATAGAGCTTAGCTGACTCTTTATATGGAGTGAGTTACTTCTTTAGAGTATCAGATATGCTTCTAAATATTCATGGTATGTTAAAAATACATTATAAAATAGTGCCAAAAAAAAAAAAGGTCCAACACACCGCAACTCTCAACTAAAGGTTTTCTCGAACTTTACATACACTATGTAGAATAGGTCTACTTGCATGTTCATATTCCTAGTGGGAAATAAAACCTGTTCTTTTCTTGCCCCCAGCCTCATCTGATTAGTGATTGGCTTTTTTTTTTTAAAGCATGGAATTACATGGCCAAACCAATTGAAAGACAAAAACAAAAGTTGTGTAAATGAATGTACAAGATATATGCCGTGATTGGCTGGAAACGGAGCTCTTGGTCCCTGACAGCTCACTCCCCTAAAGTCATCACTCTGACCTCTTCTTGCAAATCACTTGTTTTCAATTTTGAGAGCTAATGCTATCCCTGAACATCTAGCGAGAGTAGGAATGCACCAGGTTGGATCTGTTCAGTTGAAATCCTTTGCCCTTTTTACACCCCCTAAGCTTGTGTCCTGCAGCTCCTGCTGCCTTCCTGGCCTCTTCATCCCTCCTCCTCCCAAAGTAATTGTGGGTTTTTCGACTCTTTTAAACCATGAATTTTGGCTATCTCAAAAATCAGAAGAGCAGAGGATATGAAAGGAATTCCCTCTTGAACAAGAACCACAAAACACAATGCCTTATCACAGTGGAGCTCCTGGGACAGTGGCCACTGAAAAATGCTATCTCTAATATTAACTCAGACTCCAGCTCCAGTCCTGAGGGAAACAGGGTCAAAGAAAGTGGAAACCAAACAATTAAGATCGTAGTATGTAATCACTTCTACAGCTGACCTCCAAGTTATCTGTTCTTACCTAAGAGAGATGTGACCCCCAAAAAAGAAACAAAACCCCTCTTTTTTCCCTCTCTAGTTACTCTAGGCAAATCCATAAATGGGAGATGCTTAGAGACAAAAGAGACAACTGTACAATACCCACAAAACCTACGTTCAGCAGGCTCTGTCCTTAAAGCATCCAGTCCTGACCTCACAGAAGCTGTTCTCAGCCCTTCAGCCCTGAGCAACGGGACGACAGAACTGACCTCCCAGGCCAACTCTCAACTCACCACAAATCCTACAAGTGGACCGTACCACCAACTCCACACAGCAGTCCAGCACTTCTGAAAACCTCTCTCCAGAAGCCAGGGGAACTGTTTTTGAGGGTGAGGTAGTGTAGGCAGCTGCTCTACCCTCAATTCTACTCAGAGTAAGGCCCTAGCCCTGTCCACTCCTAATTCCAGCACACCCCCTTTCCCTGAGGAGATGGGCTTTTCTATGTCCTTTGCACATGTGCTCCAGTGAAAGGGACATATCAAACCCAAGTCCACTTAATTCTGGGAGCTATCAAGGGAGCAGCCCTTGGGCTGGACAGGATCAAGACAGAAGCTACAGATTTCCCAGGAGGAAACAGACCAAGAGACTTGAAGGGCCAAGATCATGAAGCCTGAAGGAGAGAAAAGATGGAAGGGATGGGGCGGGGCTGGGGTTAGGGTTAGGGCTCCTGGGAACAGATCTATTTTCCTTAGAACACCGTAGAAGATGTGAGGGAAAAAGGGGGGAAAGGAAAGAAGAGGAGAAAGCTGGGGGTGGGGGTGGGGGTAGAAGCCTGTGGCCCAAGCCTGCCGACAACTCGGGAAAGGGCTTTCAAGAAGTGGCTTCCCTCACTGTAGGTCTAGTTTTGTTTGTATTTCTTGAAACCACAACTGCCTGGGAAATGATATTGAAGGACCTCAGCAGTTCTGCAAAACAAGCTGACTCTGGACGCACCAGATTCTTGGTTGGAATATCGGCAAAGGAGCCTTTCAGGACCTTCTTTTTTTTACTACCGTGCGTAAATGAGGCTCTTTCACCAAACTGCAAGGGACTGGACCGGGAACGCAGCTAAAAGGGTCATGGGAGCTGGAGATAACTTGTTCTCTCTCCAATTCCCCTGGGCCACGCGGAGAAGCGCATCCAGGCCGCAGTCAGCCAAGCCCTGGGGCCGGGCTCCTAACATGCACTTCCTCACTCCTACCGCAACTGCGAGGTCTCCAAAACGCGTTACCCGGAAAACCTTGGCCCAGGGAGGTGACTGTGTGTGCGTTTAAATTTGGTTTTGTCCCCGATCTCTTTTCCCAAAGAATTTAACATGTTCCCCTTTGGCCCGGGGAAGGCACCTGGTAGTCTCAACTCAGCGTCCAGCCTTGTGGTTCTCTTTTCCTGGGACTCAGGAAAGTAAGAACCAGTCTGGTGGGGTCAGGGAAGTAGGCCTGGCCAGGATCACTTCCCGAAAGAGCCACAGCAGGCACTCGGACGTTGCAGACGCACCTGACCAAGCTCTCGCGCTCCCCGCCTCGTCCTTACCTGGCTTGGAGAGCTGCGCTTGCAGCGCCCCGGGCTGAGGCTCGGAGGCCCAGCGTAGCCCGGCGGCCGCGGCCAACTCGGCGGCGGGGCGCGTCGGCGGCTGCGAGGGCTGCGAGGGCGGCGGCGGCTGCGGGCCGGCAGCGGAGTCCCCAGGCTGTGGGGGACCGGGCAGAGCGCGCAGTGAGTCAGGGATGAGGCTCTCCAGGCTCTCGTTGGCCTGCTGCCGGCGCAGCGCCACCTGCGCTGCCATGACCCGCTGCCGCTCGATGATCAGGATGCACTTCTCGCAGGTGCAGTCCTTGAAGCGGCAGTAGCGCTTGTGGCCCTTGAGCCAGGACAGCACTCCGTGGTTCCGGCAGCGCGCGCACTTGGGCGTACGCTGCAAAGGTGCCCGCGGCGGCTGCGACACCGGGCCGCCCATGTAGAGGTAGGGAGAGCCGTAGCCGTTCATGCCCAGGGCTCCGGGACGAGTTGGCGGGCCGGCGACGGAGGGAGGCCAACGGGCGCTGGAGTCCCGAGCTGGGGGCCCGTTCGGGGGTCGGCCTCCGGGCGGCGAGGTGCGGGGTCCCGCAGCCCCGGCGGCCGCGTGCGTCCCGGGCCGGCGCGGGGTGCAGCAGCAGTCCCTCCAGCTCCTGCAGTGCGCCCAGCCTCTCCCCCTCGCTTCGGGCCCCGCCAGACCTCAAGCCGCCCGGGTCTCGGTTGGAGGTTGCTTTGGCTGCACAGCCACGCCCGCACCTCCCCTCCGCCTAGGTGCAGGCGGCCGCCAGGAGCGGACGAGAGCTCTGACGAAGGTCTGAGCCAACTGTCTGCAGCTCCTCTGCTCCCGGCCTGTCCCAGCACCTCCTCCGCCGCCCTCCCTCAGCCCCTCCTCCCGCCACCGCTACCCCCACCCCTGGGGTCCTTGTGTTCTGTTCTCCCCACCCAACTCCTTCCTCCTTCGCACCCCTCGGATTCCTGCACTTCACCTTCCCGGCCACCTGCAGCCGGGCCACTCTGGCGGGGGCGCTCACGGTCCCCTCCTCCGAGCCCTCCGCGCTACCTTCCCGCGGCGGCGGCAACTGTGCGCTTTCGAAGACGGTGGGGCACGCGGGGCGGGGACCCGAGGACCGCGGGGGTGAGAGTGGGGTGCCCCTGCGCGATCTTCTCCTTCCAGCCCTGATCTGGAGGCAGGGAGTCCGAGGCTGCTTTTATCCCGACCTTGGCGGCAGGAACTCGGCTGTGCGAGGACCAGAGAGTGCGTGGCGTTGCGGATGCACCCTAGACCTGGCGCGGGCCGAGGGTTTTCAGGCTGAGGCCGGTCAGCCCCAAGGGCCACCGGCAGGAGGAGTTAGGGGTAGGAAAGTGATACTGACTCCGGAAATTTACGGTCTTTTCTTGATTTCCTTTGTAACTTTTTTTTCTTTTTCGTTGCTGCAGAAGACAATGAATGTTTAAAAAAAAAAATCCCCGGCCTAAGGATGACAACCCATTTCCAGGCTAATGTTTTCCTACCCTCCTCCCCTTCTAAAAAGAAAGAAAGAAAAAAAACACTCTCTGCCTTGAAAGGCTCAGGGATCGCTCGAGTGGATGTTTTGCTTTGGCGCTAACTAAAAGTTCAAACAGTGGTCCGAAACCACGTTAGCGCCCCAAAAGTTACCTGATATGATCTCCCATTCCCCCAACAACACTGAATTGTCAAATGTATGTTTCTTGTTATCCAAGTAAAATCCCTACAGATTTGTTAATTAGGTAAGAGTAAGGGATGAGGCTTCCCCCTCCCCCGCCATAAACCCCACCCCTAAACAGCTTTGGGTGGGGATGGGAAGGGGCCCCTGGTCAGGATGGCAGCATAAAACTTTGCTTATTCTGGTATTTGTGTGGAGTACCTGTTTGGCCTTATGCAGGGTACCACTACATACCCGTGGGATCCGCTAAAGTCCCCCCTCAACAAAGGAAAAAATGGTGGCTACAGTCGTCGTGGGGCGGCCCAGTGGCACTGTGCGAAGGGTAAGGTGGCAGGCCTGGGAGCGTTCGCCAAGTCCATCTCCTGGCCGCGTGGACGAACCGAATGCTAGATCAGAGCGTGGACGTCCACTGCGGTGCCAGGCCCCTCGGCGGCGCGGAACCCCGCGTCCGCTTGGTGAGGCCGCTTTTTTCTGCGCTGCCCAGACAGCAACCCGAAAAGTTCCTCCTTGTTGCTCTGAATTCAGGCAAAGTACCGCCGGGCGTTCTAATAGTCAAGTCTTTGCCTGGAAAAAGGAAGGTTAAGAGAATCCGTCGTGCGTTCCCCTCGAAGCGCCAAGCCATCTGGGTTTCAAACCCTCGGGGCGTTGGGGAACGCGGGAGGCTGACCTGGTGGAGCGCAGGCTGGAAGACTTGCGCGCCAGGAGAACTGCCCCAAGGCTGCGACGAGCAGGGACCCTCGGCCTTGTCCTTTTCCCCATCTCTTAATCCTTCCTCTCCTACTCTTCGCTGAGAAAATGAGCCCCAAAATCTTAACTGGAAGGAAGTCCACAAGCTTAGGGAGAGGTCGCCCTTGGCTCGGTGGGCCGAAGCAGGGAAGTGCGGCTCCCGGAGCGAATCGCTTCAGGCAACAGAGACACTAGGGCCGTGAATGGCAGCGGATCTGGGAACTTCTGTACCGAATTATCCGGGTTTCTCGGCAACTCGAGAAGAACGAACTTTTTCCTAAGCCGAATTTCTCCAAATCGTCCGCGAAACGTTTAAGAAAAATGAGAATAATTTCTAAAAAAGGAAACCAGCAGAGGTCTGCACCAGGTTTGTGGGGACATTTCACTCCCGGGCAACCCCCTTTCCTTCCTCGGTCACCTAGCCACCCCATCCCGATGCCACTCAAACAGTCTAGCATTATTTGGTCCCGGGCCCGTTTCACTCCAGTGCACATCGGGGGCTGAGATCTAAATACTCATTTGATAGAGCGCAGTAATCCTTTTCTCATATTTGATGGGAATGTTTTCCATATCCCAGTATTTGACAACATCTCCCTATAGGGACAGGTTTGTATTTATGTTGGTAAAATGTCCCCTGCCTCAAAGTCTATTGTAACCCAACACCTGACAACCCCGAGTCCCATTTCTGTTTGCAGAAAGGGTTTATTCAAGCACATAATGGGATCCCAGCAGAAAGCCTTCAGAACAAGGGGCTATGGTAAACTTCACCACATGAACTCCGTTTCCAGGGCTATTAAGCTTTTAATTGGAAAATAGCAGAGGAAATTTCAAGGTGACTATAACGTGTTAGCAGTTAGTGCAGAGAAGAAAAGCCCATGCGGGAATGAATGTAGAAAGCATATGGTCCGAATCACATTTAGGAGGAGCGGCCTGCTTCTAAATCCCCGCTGCTTATACACTTCTGGGAAAAATCATCAAAGAAATGGGAAGGGAGGAGGGAGGATTACAAGTAAATGTAACCTCGCTAGACTAGAAGCTCTAGCGTTCTCTGGGTGGTGTGTTTGTGTTTTCAAACCACAATTAGGTAGAATTGTGGCAGGTAGTAAAAGTGAAAAGGCACAATCACTCCGTGCGCAGGTATCTAAATGTTGGGAATGTAGGTGCCTTTGCTGAGAAAGTAACCCGTACTTTCCTTACTTTACGTTCAGGCTCCAAATGTCGAGTCCTGCTAGCTGGTCCTCACCCTCAAGCAAAGCTTAATCAAAAGGACAGTTGCATATTGTCCCCGGATGTATGACACATCAAGAAAGGTTCTGCTTTGCTGGGTTCTCCTGGAGGAGAGGTGTGGGTTCCTATTCTGCTGTCTACATCGTGACAACGGTGGTGTCGGTACGGGCAGACACTGGAGACCTGGGCTTGCAGAACCCCTTTACAGGCAGAAAAAAGGGACCCCTCTCCTTGCTCGGGAACTCAGCATGCACTACTCAGTTCTCATCCAGTCAGTGTTTCTTGGCATCGCTTTTTGGCTAGCTTCAAATTGAAAGAAGGGGACGGTGGGGATAATGTCCAGTTAGGCAATGGGGCAACGAGAAACCGACTTCTTGAAATCTACTCTGAGGGCCTTTTTCTCCCGTGCTTGGCTAGGGGGAACTCGAGCCGCCCCTCCCTTGTCCCAGGCCCTGGGTAAAGGACGATCTACCCCTCGGGGCAGAAGGTCCTGAACATCAAGTTTCCACACGAATTTGGAAGGGAAGGTGGAATCTTAGTGGGAAACCTGCTCCAGCCGTTCAGGAGCCTAGGCCTTTTGAAGCAAAGGGGCGAGAAAACCGCGGCAGCCCGGTTTTCTTAGGGTAGGCCCTAAGCAGTGCTGCGCACTCCTTCACCTTCTAGAACTCTCCCCGGGAGCCAGTGCAGACTCCGCAGACCCAGCCTGGGCCCAGGACTACATGGGCCCACCCTTTGGGGGTGTGGGCTGTGGCCCCAGCGAGGCTCCTCCGAGGCCCCAACTAAGATGACCTCCACCCTGTGCCCACTCGGACCTCGACCTCCAGTGTCCTTTGTGCCCACCCGGCAAGATGAAACGAACAGCGCTTTCTCTCGAGCGACTTTAAAAACAAAAGGCCGAGAAAATTTTAGGTAATTTGATCAAATTCAGGGAATAAGTAAAGAAGACTGACCACACCTCACCCAGTCCCTAGCGTTTGCTCAGGGAGCTTGGATGCACTTCCCCAGGCCCAGCCACTTTTCCAGAAAATTCTCCCTGCCACCTTCTCCCCCCAGTTCCCCTACAAAAGCTCCTCGAAGGCCTTGGGAGACTATGGGAATGAAACCCCATTAGGTTCCAGGGGACCGCGAATAATGAGGGGGAACGTCCACGCTGCCAGCACCCCAGGAAGAATGGTTCAGAACTCGACGCCTGGGGCCCGGTGCCTAGCCAGAAAACTATGCTGCCAGGCTCAGGGTCTGCCGGCTTTGGGGGCGCCCCGCCTCACCCCACCCCACCCCACCCCCAGGTCCACAGCCCTCAGGGCGGAGAGACTTCCGGAAAGACGGAGCCCCGCCCGGCTGCCACGCCCACTGCGTTAGCCCCCGCCCACCCGGGCGGCCAGGCCACCGTCTAGGAACCGTGCAAAAATTTTGGAGGCGGGGGCCGGGAATTTAGCTCAGTAGTTTCGCCGCCTGCTGCGGAAGCTCAAGGACCCAAGTTCGATCCCCAATACCAAAAAAAAAAGTTTTGAAGGTGGGAAAGACGGGGAGGAACTTCAGCAAGTGTCCGAGGAAGGGCCATTGCACGTTTTCCTGCGGGGCGTCCTTGAAAGGCACGAGTCCCGAGTTGTTGGCGGCTGCCGAGCTCCAAAGGCCCAGGGCCCTACCGGGCAGCCTGTCCCAGGCCTTCTCCTCGTCTGCACGAAGGGCCAAAGGACAAGGCCTTCGGCCAGTCTCCTGGGCACATTTCCCAAACCAACTCCAAGCGGTCTGGTGGACAGGTGAGCATGGGCACCGCAGACCGTGCTTCGCGCCAAGGACTGGCCACACTCCCGTGCAGTGTGCGTGTCCGCACTGCAGTTTCTCGGCACTCGATTTTCCTGTGTGGGTGGGGGTCTGGTCCACGCCGCTGCTCCGGGTTGCAGTCTTATTGCGTGGACAGCAGATGAGGCCCCACCTGCTGTCCTGGGCCCGGGTTCTGCGGCGCGGCCTCCGCGGGACACGAGTGGGTAGGCGCCCGAGGCCCTGTGAGCGCGTACACTGGAAGCCGGGAGGGGTCGCCCGCGTCCCCAGCCACTGCAGAAGCCTGAGGCGTTCTCGGGAAAAGGCGTGTGCGTCCTTTGCTCCCGAGCCCCATTCGCGTGGCAGGGGCTTGCCCGGAATGAGGAAGAGAAGACTGGGCGAGCCTGCTCGTTTCTCCACGCCAGATCACGGGTCATCTGCAAGGCTCAGTAGGGCTGTTCGAGAACATAACGCCTGGCCCGCCCACGTTTGTGGACACATTCTGCGCACCTGTACGCTGCACGCGTGACTCATCCCACTCGCAGGATTGACTTTGTTTGGAGGTTCTCCTCCCGTGGGTCGAGCTTTGAGGAACCGGCTACCTCATCAAAAAATGTTTATTAAAAAACGAATAAAATGCCGCCATCGAAATCTATCTGTGCCCCGTGTCCAGAAAGAGAGTCATCACAAAGCAGGACCGGGGCCAGGCCTGGGGCTGTTTGGCTCCCTCCTCCTAGCGTTCAAGGGTAAGGCCGCAGGTGGAAACCTGAGCGCCGAGAACTGTCAGACCATGCTCCGCAAGGCCCCCGCGACCCCGGGCTGAGGGTGGCCCTTCAAAGGCAGGATCCCATCGCACGCAGCCACCAGGATGTGACAGAACACGGTGCCAAAGGCTGGACGTGGAGGCGCTGCCCAGCTGACAGGTCTGGGGCCCAGAGCACGACCGCACCCGACCTGCGAAGCTGGGTTTGGGTGCTCGCTCAGCCTGGGAGCGCTGGCTCGCTCATCCGGTCCCTGCCTAGCCCTCCAGAAACGTGGGGGCACTGAAGGGATCGCGCTGGGCTTCTCGGAACCCTGCACTTATTACTGTGCTGGCCTCCTCTACGGAAGGGCCGAAGGTGCAAGACTCCGGAACCCTTAGAAGCCAGTATTACTGTATTCCAAGGAAGCCCGCGAGTGCGTGGTGAGCAAGGGGCTCTCATCTGCAAGAACGCCAGCAGTAACCCCTCGGGAGGTGGCAGCTCAGAGGCCCATCTGTTCCCTTCCCCAGCGCCCCGCAGCCTCCCGATGTCGCCCGTCACAATAGCTACAGCTACAGCCTCCGAAGGGCACACGCTGCAGTAGCAGCAGCCTGACAAGTGTGATAAAATGATCTTCCTTAACTAAACTCGTAAAGCACTGGGTAATAAAACTCAATCTTCTGTAAAATCCAATTAAGTCATTATCTGACTGATTGTATCTTTAATTGAAAACAGAAGTGACAGTAAATTTCTGTGATATATCAGGATCAATCGATACCGCTATACGATTCAGCCCCAGAAGTGATTTATAATGTCAAACCTATATAGGTAACTCCACATTATTCTCTCTAAAACCACTGGTGGATGAAATTAAGAGTAAGTGCATTTAATAAAAAACAAGATGGTCAGGTTATTGATTACAACAGATGGGGGTGAAATCAAATAGATGTTTTCAAAGCACAGAGCGAAGAAAATACAAGTAATTTCTTTTTTTCCTGTTTAATACCGCTCAGCAAATATACACACAAGAAAATTCAGTCATCAATAACATTTTTATTTCAGGTACAGCTGCAACTACACAAAACAATGAATTTTTTTTAGACTAGTTTCATTTCAGGATGGCTTCTGTTACATAAGGAGGTACTCCATAAGCAATTTTTAACAAAACAATGAACTCAGAAATCTGTACAGTAGTAACTTGTAAAGATGTACTTATTTCCAAATCAGATTACAATCTAAGGTAACAAAATAGTTTAGACTGCATCCATTTTTTTCCTGTAGTAGAAAAACTATGTTAAACTCATTCTAGAAACAACACCTAGGAGTTCTGCCTCACCCGGGTTAAATTAAATTATACCGTTTTCAAATTATCTTTTACAGAAAAAGTAGCAATTCTAAAGGGCCTTAGGTCCCCCCAGCACTGTATTTCAGTTCAGGATTTGGGGGGAATGGGGTACAGCTATTTCCAACAGCAACACAAACACACAGTATTTCCATTTACCTTGACCTTCTGCAGATTTCTAAAATAATCAGTAATTTTGTTTGCTCATCTTGCTGGTCAAGTACAGTACTTTGCTAAATTTATATTTTTGCAATTTAATTAACATACTTAAATTTTTAAAATCTAAGGCACCTAAGATTTCATTTTAAAACTAAGTAGTATCTAATTGTGACTAATTTAGACAAATATCTGGCTTTACTTGAGTAAATTACTGTATTTCTATGACTACTGCATGTAAACCAGTGTCAATTAAAAAAAAACATGAGGGACACTAGTATTTAAACTCTGTGAGCAAAGCTCTTAATTCTTGCAGATGGTAGTCAGAAACCCCACTGTTACAAGTGTTCTAGCTTTGGACTAAATTCTAAAGGAATATATAAACCAAACACGTTCTCAACAGTTAAGTCAGCCTAAGTCAATACAGAATAACAACAAACCCTGTGCATAATGGAATAAGCCTGATATTCCAAGTGAACTATCAACTCCAACACTGCTCACTCGGCCTCTTCGACTATGGGAGTGACTGTGAAGCTGGTGGGCTCGGAGGCAGCCTCACATTCCAGAACCCCCTTTGTGCTTTCGTTACTTATAGGAGAGTTGCTGGAGAGGGAAACCAAGGCAGAATCTTGACTGCTGGACGGCAAGAATACTGGGAAGTGGGGAGAGAGAAAGAAAGGGAGAAAAAACGAGTATGTTAAAAATGGCCAGTCTTCTACATTCAGTATTCAATTAGGTTCCAACAAAGAAAGACGCACTCCCATTTGTATTCTGAATTGCAAGTGTTTTCACTGACCCTCATTAAAATCCCCAGTGGTTCTTTGGAGTTAAAAAATTGTACATTACACAAGAATATTTCTATTTAACTGAAGGAAAAAGTTAGGAAGCAAAGTTCCAGTTTTATGTCCATTAAAAAAACAAACAGTAAGTTTGCTATGCTCTTTGGGAAACTCGTTCCCACTCCTCACTGAGTCCCCTTCCCTTTAGGCAAAGGGTGCTAATGAAACTTGCCGGGTCAAGTTGTCCATCTGAAAAATTATCCCAAGCAGTACTCCACCTGTGTATTTCCACCACTGGACAGGCAAGATCTAGCAGGTGAAGCTGACAGCAAATCAACTTTCCTGTTGCCTCTCTTGGGTATAACCAGAAACAAGCATGGTGAGGTGTGTGTGTCAGCATACACAACTTTTGAAAAGTGAAGAGTAGTAAACAGATGAGAAAAATTTTAATGGGGAAAGAAAAATGAATATATTACACTAAAACAGAAATAGATAAATTAAAAGATTTTGAAAATAAGCCTATGAATATAAAAACTGTACTGGGAAACCTACCTTAAATATGAAGGATGTAAAAGTAATAATGTGTTGAACACTTTTTTGCAACCTTACAAGCCACAGTAGATACAAAATTTAAGCAAAAGGGTCTCTGACCTTCTTAACCTTAGCTGAGTTTAGATCCACCCCCAGAACTCCCTTTCTGCCTAGTGTGAATGTAATTAAGGGGAAGCTGCAGTGGTAATTTCTCTCCTCATTAACTTCCTGATTGGTTTCAGCCTCAGGATTCTGCTGGGCAGTAGTTTGTCACCAATTCCAAATGGCCAATCGTTAATACTAATGTTTGTGTAACTAACTGCCAGCATCTGCCAGGGCTTCTTGTACAACAATAATGGTGAAAGGGTACATTAGTGCTCCTGTGTTAATTCAGCTTGTGTTCATCAACAGGGAAATCTATGATGTAATTAGCAAAATGCATTGGGAGCTGAGTACTGAAGTCATTTGTAGAGAACTAAATCATAGTGGAAGCTGTACTAGGTCCTGATGTGTTTGCTATCAATACTTATTATGTTTGGAATTTAATAAGGTATATTACCATGCTGAAAAGAGACCTTTTTACAAGAGAACACTATTTACGCTTGTTATGAGTCTGGAAAAGGTTTGCTGCAGCTAGTGGAACCACATAGAAAAAAGAAAAGAGCTGTGATTTAAGAAATGGACCTTTAACCATTCCACTGGACCAAATTATTTATAAAAGCTCCTTTCCTCCAATGGATAGGCAAACAGACAGATGCATAGTTTTGTACAGCTATCTCAATATCCAATGAGGAAAGGGATGATCTGAAACTTAGTAAGTGAATAAATTTGAAAAGCAATTTAGGCAATTTCCTAACAAGAAGTTGTTTGTTTTTTGTTTTTTTTTTTTGGTACCCGGGTCAAACTTGGGACCTTGAGCTTGAGAGGCAGGTGCTGGAACCACTGAGCTGAATCCCCTGCCCAAGAAGTTTCTTTTTGTACTGGTAGTATTCGTTTAGTATTTAGTAACTTAAAAGTTAATAAACTTTATAAGCTTTAAAAAGAAGGAAAGAGTTGTTAAATGGTATTTTATAGATGCCAAAGAAGTGTGCAGATATAAATATATTATAGCAACCCAAAATGATAGCAACCAAAAAAACCCCTGGGAACCTGAATCCTTTATCTTATTGCAGTGCACAACAGCTTCTTAGTAAATTTGGGGTGTTATATGGATTTAAAATTCCCTGTAAATCCAAGGTGATTTATGAATTGTTTGTACATGCACCTGGTTGTTAAGTAAATTTATGGAGAAATGTTTTCCAAAAGTAGTAGACTTAGCTCTGCTCTGAGATTTTTGTTATTACACAGATCTGGAGACCCCACTGAGTGCCTGCTGGAAAGTCTATGCGTTAATCGGCCACCTCCACCTCCACTCCAAACCTGTGACATGTTTTCTGTGTACACAAGCCGTGTGGAAGGGAATGAACATTTCCTGACTACTCTGTGTAACACATACTTTAATGAAGAATTTCACCCTCAAACCATCCAATGAATTACTCTCCCCATTTTATATAGGGGACCTCGACTCTCTGGCATGCTCTTAGCCCTGTCCCCTTAACCCTGGGCACCACACTTAGGGGCTGATCAGAGAACCTTCCCAATTTCCTCATGAGTTTAAGGGGGCAAAATAACTGACCCTGTCAGGCTGATGCAGAACCTATACAGGAATAAGTTCAGGGTATTGTCAATGTGTCCTGAGCCCTCAGCCTGCCTTGGCCTTTAGTTCAAAGTGATGGTGGAGAAGCCCCCACACTTCTCCTTTAGCCAATTTGGGACTGAAAGGGGGAGGAGTGGGAATTTCACAAAAGAAAGGAATTCAGGAAGAACCCTCTTTTGCTCTCACTTGTCTCATGGGCACTTTCTTGGGAAGTACCCGTGTGACGGGGGCTACAAACACAGGCACAATATGTCACCTGCCTAGACTAGACTAGGGAGGCTTCATGCACGGTTAATGCATGACTGCACTCCAGAGAAAATGTAAAGAAATAAACTCAATCTATTTTGAAAAGTACCTGTACTGTATGTTTAAAGTGTTTCTCCATTCAAAACTAAATCTATGTTATTTTTTACGTTTGTTCAAGGCTTGCTAATGTCTTTGAAAAACAGAATGTTGAAGTTAGGGACAGTATCTGTTTAACTCATTTTGTAGAGAACCTCATGAAAGTTCCAAGTGCCTACAAAAATTTCATGTCGTTTTTTGTAGTGATGAATGCTCAAAATCTGTTTTACGACTATCTTTAAATATAGTCCTTTCAAGGTAACCTGTGCATTTTAATGTAACATCACTGAACTTTTTAGGGGCAACAGTAACAAATGACCACTATAAATTATATTATACTAACTAGAAATTTTAAAACTTTTCTTCTTTTTGAGTTAGGGTTAGGGCTAATTTCAAGAGGTCTGTCTCAATCATTTTGTAAAAATGCTACTGACTCCTAGTGTCAGTAACACAGCAGGGATACAGATATTACAGGGAGCACCAGAAATTGGTTCCATCTTTCTGGACACCAATCTAGTGACATGTAATAAGATCTGTAAAACTGTTCAGCCCTTATGACCTAGTAATTTCACTCTTGGGAATAACCCTAAAGAAAGAAAGGATAATTGGCCCAGAGATGCCCAACACACTGCTCTTTGCATCAGCGAAGACCTTCCTGCATTGCGCTTGGCTTGGAGGAGGAAGGGGTGGCTGAACTGGAGGGGGCGGCAGGAAGCATTCACAGGCAATAACCAATTAAGGATTATACTACCCCATAATCACTACTGGCCTCCCAGCGTTTACAGAAATGGAAAAAATGATTTCTGAAGCCTAGAGGGGAGACTGAAAAGTAAGGGAAAAGGAAAAAGGAAAACTTGCCCATCTGGTCTATTCTGTGTTACAATGAAATGTGGGTATACCAAGAAGACTGACCCTTGTTTGAACCACCAAATCTACTATGTTTTCTCTCAAGCAGAGGGCCTTTCCTTTATTTTTACTTAAAAACAAAAGCTTTACACATAATCATTCTTACCAATGTGGGAGAGAAACATGAAGATTTTGGTGATGCCACTTAACCATCAGTATTCTTTCTGAAAAATATTACATACTGCCAAATAAAGAGAAAAACCCCTCTAACAAACAAAGCAAAATTACCCTAACAAATCTTTTGATGCTGCAAAGACCCCTGACTTTTACCTTCAACGATCAGTTGAAAGTCAATGGACTGGAACAAATAATTCTCTCCCACTAATGTGAGAAAACACGATATTCATGCTTGAGAAAAAAGTTCCAACTAATACTATTAAATTCTTTCTAAGAAACTATCTAAAAATAAAACACAAGTGGCATTCTCTATTGGTTAGCAACTCTTCACCTGCCTGCTGGCCGCCAATGCAGATATGAAAATGCTGGTCTCTGAGTTCTTAGTTTGCATGAGTACGGCAGTGTCTGAAGAGCTGGTGAACATTTCTTAAACAACAAATTCTTCCACTTCACAATAACCATAGTGTTTGGAAATAAAATCTTGTCCAATCAATGCCACTTAGCAGATATTTAATGTTTCACAATAGAAGGCTTTTCCAGAGTGGAACTGCTGCCCTTCTCACTAACATTTAAAATAATTAGGATTATCTCAGTTGCCGGAGCTTGGCAGGTTCAGTTTGTACTTTCAAACAGCATTAATTCTTGGCACTCAGAACAAGGGATAAAAGGTAAAGATATGAATGGAGATCTTTATTCCACCTGATCTATCATGGATTAGCTCATTCTTTTCCAGTTCATGCCTGCACTCTAGTTAAGAGGAAGGCTGAGCTGTAACTGATGTAATTAGAAACCACAAGCTGAGAAAAAAATAGCCCTTTATTAATCTCCACCATTTACTATAAATTTACTAAAAGTATAATAACCTTTGAAACAATTAAATGTGTTTTTCCTTCTAAGGTGAATTAAAGCAGAGTGACAAGAAAAAGAGCTGCAATGGATAATGTTTTCCTTAAAACCATATTTTAATTGTAAGTTCTAAAATCTAACACCAATTTTGTAAGGGGCCAGGCTCTGCACTTGGCATATTAAAGGGCAAACAGTCAAGCCATGTTAAGTGAGAGTTCCTGTAGATGCAATCAGGTAAGTTATCAAGGCTTCCTCCTGATACAACTATTATAATCTTTGCAGACACTGGAAAATACAGCATTTTAAAGACTAAGTAAACTTTGGACAGGAAGTACGTATGTATGCAACAGTAACTGTTCTTCTTTCCCTCTAAATATCATGTTACATGAACATGCATATACAATTCACAAAAAATAGGTAATTTTTAAATTTTCA